TAGAGTCGATCACCAAACTGACCTAAGCCGGATCCCCACGAACAGGATGCCAGGACTCCACTCGAACTAGCCAGCTAATGACCCACCAAATCTCATGGCCATACCCGCAAAGGGTCCGACCTCGAGGAGAGGGAATCATCGTCCTCGGGACGTGCCGTGGGCAACAAAAGAAGGCCAGGGCCCTCAAAGTCCTCTCGCTTAGAAAAACCTCTGAAGGAGTACAAAAGAAGATCAATTCTTTTTAGCTACCCAAACTTGCTTGGGTCCTTGAAGGTTAGTCACTAAGCTCTTTGGTACCCAAATGACTTTCTTCTTTGAGCCCATCCATGGTGCACCAATGAACTTATCCTTCACACTATTTGTACCCTTAGTAAGCACATAGAAAGAATTAATTTTAATTGAGGATACATTGGCATTTTTGCTCTTGTTCTTGCATTCATGCTCTTTATGACCAACTTACTTGCAACTAGTGCAAAACCGACCATTGTTCTTCATAAAACTAGTCTTGTGAGGAGCAAAGGCCGCTTTGCCTTTCTTGGGGATATAGCCCAATCCCTCTTTGTAGAGAGAAGCTCTTTGGCTACCCAAGCACATAAGCAAGCGGTCCTCACCACCATAGGCCTTAGCCAAGGTGTGAGTGAGCTTATTGACCTCCTTCTTGAGGGTCTCATTCTCAACCATTAGTGAGGCATCACAAGTAAAACCATCACTACTAGATGAGGTGGAAGTAGAAGTGCTACAAGAAGGGTTAGTGGGAGCAACAATGATAGGCATAGATAATGATTCATCAATTAAGTCACAAGTTAAGCCTATATCACATGTCTCAACATGCTTCTTCTCATTTTGCTCTTTAAGCAAAGAGAAATGAGCTTTTTCAAGCTTCTTGTGAGCATTGCCAAGCTTTTCATGGGCTTCCTCTAGCCTCTCATGAGTTGCTTTGAGCTCATCAAGGGCTTGCTTAAGGGCTTTTACTTTCTTACCCAAGCTTTTGCATTCCCTTCTCTTAATGTCAAAATGTTTTTAGCATCTTCTAACATGTCAATTAATTCATCTTTAGTGGGTTCATCATCATCACTATCACTTTCATTTTTATTTTCATTATCATGTTCCTCATCACTTTCATCATCACAAGTTTGTACCTTAGTAGCCTTAGCCATGAAGCATGATAGAGTGTCGAAGAGAGAAGGCTTCTCATTGATAGCAATACTTGCAAGTGCCTTCTTCTTGGTGGTCTTGTCATCATCACTATCATCATCATCACTTGAGGATGCATCACTATCCCAAGTGACCACATATGAACCACCCTTCTTCTTCTTCTTGAAGGTCATCTTGTCCTTCTTCTCTTTCTTTTCCTTCTTGTCCTTCTTCTTGTTCTTCTTGTCATCATCTTTGTCACTATTGTATGGACATTGAGCAATAAGATGATCTTTGCTTCCACAACTGAAGCACCTTCTTGACTCTTCCTTGTTCTTGGATGAAGACTTCTTTCTTCAAGCATGGTAGCCCTTCTTCATCATGAACTTGCCAAATCTCTTGACAAAGAGAGCCATCTTCTCATCATCTATCTCATCAAAGCTCAAGTCTTCATCTTCACTTGATGATTCTTGCTTTGCCTTGCCCTTGGATGATGTGGCCTTGAATGCCACACTCTTCTTCTTGTCATCTTTCTTCTCCCTCTTTTCTTCCTTTTCATCATCATCTCTATAAGCATCATCGGTCATGATATCTCCCAAGATTTGGTTTTGTGTCATTGTGTCCAAACCTGTCCTCACTAGCAACGTGACCAACATGCCAAATCTTGCTGGTAAGCATTTCAAGAACTTATGAGAGAAGTCCTTGTCCTCCACCTTCTCACCAAGGGCTTTGAGATCATTGACAAGCACTTCCATCCGATGGAACATGTCCGGCACACTCTCATCTTCCTTCACCTTGAAGCTAGCAAATTTCTCTTTGAGAATATATGCCTTTGCACCCTTCATTGCCTTGGTGCCCTCGAATGATTCTTTCAACTTCTTCCAAGCCTCATGAGCTATCTCAATGTTCTTGATTTGCTCAAATATTCTCTCATTAATTGCATCATGAATGGCACTTATAACAATGTCATTGTTTTAGAGAAGCACTTCTTCAGCCGCGGTGGGATTCTCCGGATCGGCTATCTCAATTTTAGTTTCTACCACCTTCCACACCCTTCTATTGATTGACTTGATATGTGTGGTCATCTTTGACTTCCAAAATGGATAATTTGTGCTATCAAATTGGGGTGGCTTCTTGGTGTTGTTGATTTGAACCATTTTTACACCAAAGGTTGTTAACCCTCAAATCACGGTGACCTCGGCTCTGATACCACTTGAAAGGTCCTAATTGGCTAGAGGGGGGTGAATAGCCTATTAAAAATTTCTACAACAACACTAAGATGAATGATTATTCAATAAGATGGCGAAGCGAATTTTGCGCTAGCACTATACTTGGGGTTGCAAGCCACCTACCCAATTCTATTTTGTATAGTCTCTATCCACACAATTGCTATGTTGCTACACTAAGTTAGTGTGCTCTCAAAGGCTAACTAAAGAGCCACACTAACCAAACTAACAAGCTCTCACGATTAGCTACACTAAAGAGCTTGACAACTAGTTTGCGGTAATGTAAAGATATAGAGCAAGATGGATATACCGCCGAGTTGAGGAATGAACCAATTAATCACAAGGATGAATACCAATCACCTCGGAATCAAATGATGACACAATGATTTTTTACCAAGGTCCACTTGCTTGCCGGCAAGCTAGTCCTCGTTGTGGAGATTCACTCACTTAGAGGTTCATGCGCTAATTGGCATCACACGCCAAACCCTCAATAGGGTGCCGCACAACCAACATAAGATAAGGATCACACAAGCCACGAGCAATTTACTAGAGTACCTTTTGGCTCTCCACTGGGGAAAGGTCAAGAACCCCTCACAATCACCACGATCGGAGCCGGAGACAATCACCCACCTCCGCTCGACGATCCTTGCTCCTCCAAGGCGTCTAGGTGGCGGCAACCACCAAGAGTAACAAACGAATCTCGCAGCAAAACACGAACACCAAGTGCCTCTAGATGCAAACACTCAAGCAATACACTTGGATTCTCTCCCGATCTCACAAAGATGATGAATCAATGATGGAGATGAGTGGGAGAGCTTTGACTAAGCTCACAAGGTTGCTATGTCAATGCAAATGGCCAAGAGTATGAGCTTGAGCCGGTCATGGGGCTTAAATAGAGAGCCCCCATGAATAGAGCTGTTGGCTCTCTGTTCCCTGAAAAGTGGGGGCAACCGGACACGCCGGAGCTAATGTGCCAGCGTCCGGTCAACAGATGGCTGCCATGTCATCCCTCGCTTCAAATGCTGAGCGCTCGATCTCAATGGTTAAGTCACGATCGGACGCAGCACAGTGCCAAGACCGAATGCACCTATGCCGAGTCCGGTCATTTCCAGAGAGGTTGTTCCATTCATGACCGGACGCGCCAGTTAGATCACGACCGGACGCAGGACCCCAGGGTCCGGTTATTTCCAGTAAGGTTCCACTCGCGACCAGACGCGTCCGGTCATGCCCGACCAGACTCACCCAGCGTCCGATCACTCACCATCTCCTCTGTGCGCTGCCACATCAGCACGACCGGACGCTGAACTGTGTTCAGCCAGAGTCCGATCGCCTGCGTCCGGTCAAGAGACCGAGGGCGGCCTTCACTGCGCGCCACTGACCGGACGCAGGACCCCAACGTCTAGTCACTGCGTGACCAGCGTCCGGTGCACTCTGTGAAACCCTGTCTTTTCTGTACAGGGCGCCGGTGAAGTTTCTTACCCTTGCTCCCAAGTGCTAAACACAATGTGTATCACCTTTGTGCATGTGTGTTAGCATATTTTCACAAATATTTTTAAGGGTGTTAGCACTCCACTAGATCCTAAATGCATATGCAATGAGTTAGAGCATCTAGTGGCACTTTGATAACCGCATTTCGATACGAGTTTCACCCCTTTTAATAGTACAACTATCGATCCTAAATGTGATCACTCTCTAAGTGCCTCGATCACTAAACAAAAAAGCTCCTAACAATTTTACCTTTGCCTTGAGCTTTTTGTTTTTCTCTTACTTCTTTTTCTAAGTTCAAGCACTTGATCATCACCATGGCATCACCATCATCATGTCATAATCTTCATTTGCTTCACCACTTGGAGTAGTGCTACCTATCTCATAATCACTTTGATAAACTAGGTTAGCACTTAGGGTTTCATCAATTCATCAAAACCAATCTAGAGCTTCCACCCGCATAAAGGAGAAGAATGACCCAGCAATCCTGAATGACTTCTTCCTCTCGTTCTCCCTTTTTTCCTCGACTGTAACCCCTGCTTTTCCTTGGCCTATTAAAGGGAAAGCATGGCGTCCCATTAGGGGATATCGGACTTGACTCAAATCCATCGGACCAACAATCGAACACATCCGCATCCGAACTACATCCGAACTCGACTCGACTCAAACTCGAATCGAAGCTCATCGCAACACACCATCAGAGACTTGGGACAAGTCCCTCTCTCGACCGTTTGTAACCCATACTACGAACTTTTAGTGCTAGTAACACGAGCAGCAGCAACAAACTGGACGTAGGGACATTCCGCCCGAACCCGTATAAATCTCGTGTCCTCTTAGATCCGGGCTAGACGCACAATAATACAAATTTACTCGTTGATGGCAACTCGAAACACCGACACCAGGTGATCACCCTTCTTCACCTTGCCACTCAGAATGCTCTGCATGTCCTTGTCATCATGCTGCAGCCGTCCGGTTACCTCCAGGCACAGACCATTCTTGGCAAGTCTCTTGCTCTGTTTTGCTCGGTCGGTTTTTGGCTTAACTGGACCTGTTTCGACAAACACCGGTTGCTCTCTGATTGTGGGGTTGGGCTGTATGCGGTGGCTCTGATCCTTCTCTTCAGACGGTCGCATGATCGGGTGCTCTGTTTCCAGCTCAGTAGTTCCATCCTTGTTCAAAATCACCTGAAAAAAACATTTTCAAATTACGTCTACATCCAAATGTTCTGCCAGAGCTTCTAGACAAAAATTCAACTAAGCACAGATATTTTGAGGTTAGGTTGGAAGAAAACACAGGTTGCAAAGTACTGCTGTCCAGCAGGAACAACTAGTTACCTTACGGCCCACCAAATCAAATGTAACAATCACTTTCCCCTTTTGGCTTTTAGCTGCTTCCTCAGCTTCCTCTTGCTGCTGCTTTAGGACTGACCTCTCCTGGAGTGTGAAAAATGGGTAGCTACAGTTAGCATTTTTGAATGTATCTCAAATGGGACATGTCTATATCTAAAAAAACGCACAATAACTTCTTGTCTTGTCCTTGAAGTTACATGTTCTTACGTTTTTTTAGGGAGAACAAGTATGAGTTCGCTATGGAAACAAAGCTAGCTCTGGAAATCATTAAAACTAACTAGAAGGAATACTCTGCCATTACAAATCTTATAATAAAGTAATTCTCATATCAGGATTCGATGTACTTCGCGCATAATATATCAAGCTCTTGGTATGAAATGTCCGTAGGCGCTAAGGCTTAGCATAGACATAACAAAGAACCAAAGATCAATGGGTGGAGGCGTGGAGCAGAATATGAGCATGTATGATCCACAAGGGATGGAATATAACTATCAAGTACAGAGAATCGAATGTGGCTTACCTTTGAAGACAGCCAACTGTTTCCTTCCATTTCATAATAGTCACTTTGGTCATCATAAACTTTAGTCCTTGCTGCAGCATTTCTATCATAGTCAACAAGCCTCTTTGCATAAGCTTCAGCTGCAGCTTCTGCTTCTGAAAGAGGTAGCCCGACATCACTTAAACCAGCATAAGTGCTACCTTCCTTCAAGACAAGTGCACCACAGAAACTACAGGGTCCCTCGCCCTCTTGTTCGCACACAATCTTGCCACATGATAAGCAGTTGCTGACAAGGTTATGTTGTCGTGCTTGGCATGAACAAGGTTTCCCCTGCTTGAAGACAATAGAACCTTTTGCTGCCTCAACGAGGGAAATAGCCTTTGCTCCTTTCTTTTTTGAACCTCTCTTGGAAGGAAGTTGTGATTCTGCAGTTTCTGATTGACTCTTGGAACTCTGACTAGAAGAAGATGCTGAATCTTTTTGCGTGCGTGTTTGTTTCTTTGTCTGTGTAGTTGCTGCATCAGCTGATGGCTTAACATAAGGCTGAAGGTTAGATGATTGAAAGCTCTCAGTTCCATTTGAGGAACCAATGTGACCCCTCCTCCTCAAGTACTCTTGAATGATGTCCAGATCAGCTTCTTTTCCAATAAAATTCTAGGGCAGATCCAGTGCCGGAGACTCCCACATGAGTGGGGTCTGGGAAGGAAAAAACCGAGACAAGCCTTTCCCCTAAAATCTATGGAGATGCTGCTTCGAACCCGTGACCTGGTGACTCAGTGAGACAGCTCTCACCACTGCACCAGGCCTGCCATTCTAATAAAATTATGCACCATTAAAAAATACAAACCATGATAAATGTTTATGTCAACTAAGCTACAGTGGTCTCAACATTTGTGCCTGATGTAAATATGATGTGGCAAGAAAACAAGTGGTACAAAACACATACAACAAAACAAAAGAATTAATGTAAGGAGAGACTGAGCAACATCGGTACTAATGAAGTAAAGCCAACTGAGGAACTTAGTTTCAAGAAAAAGATAAATGAGAAAGAAAGGGAAAAAATGCTAAGGGCACACTAGTTGAATTAACATGGTCTCATGGGTATTTGGGCTGAGCGTGTGTAGTAGTAGTTCACCCTTTCAACTTCGAGTTGAACATAAAGAGACACTAGCCACTGCTGCCCGCGCTTCGCTGCGGATGATGTGCTTGGTATAGGAAATTTTTTGAGAAATATGGCTCATATGTCTAATATGTTTTCTCATCGTGTTGGTACGGAAGGTTGGTCTCAATATTTTAAATGAACATAGAGGTTGGTTGTCATTACATGGTGCTTATTCTAGGCCAGCAAATCAATGACATGTTAGTGAATAGAAGTATTTGATGGAGTTAGGCTCAAGCAACTAACACACCTAGATTTAAAGCACAACATTGGGTAGGATTACATTATAGGTGGAAATAGCAAAAACCACAACACAAGTACTTCTCCTAACGCGAGGGTTTACAAAAAAGTGAATTAAGATCCACTCCCCTTAGGCGAAACTACAGCATGCATCCAACAACTACGGACGACAACAACGGCAAGAGTACAATACAGGAGGACAGCGACGAAAAGCACTACTACTACGGGTACAACATCCCAAGGCAACTAATCTCCTTTGGAACCACGCATCTTTATGCCTGTGCTCGGCGGATTCTTCTACCGCCCTAGCTATGGATCTGCATCTTCTCGTGGCAATGGCTGAGTGAGAGGAACCAAGGGTTCTGCTTCTAACACTTCCGAATGTGGAGGTGCTGGCGGTTCTGCATCACCGGTTCTCCTTCTTTCAAGCGGGTGGATAGGGATCCCCTCCAAGATCGGGGCATCCTGCCTTTCATCAATCAGCATCCTCCGCTTGGCCCTAGTGACCAGATAGGCCTCACCCAGCTGATGAACATGCCGATCTTCGGCATCCTTCAGAGCTTCTGACATGGCAGTCTCCCGGCTCTCAGCAGCTGCAGCACTGGCATGCGCTTCGACGAGCTGCACCTAGAGCATCCGAGTGAAGATCTCGGCTTCTTCGGTGCTCCGGAGGCACGCCCTCAGCTCCAAGGCTTGCCGGTCATACTGCTCATCCAAAGCAAGCAGGTACATGGTCAAGTGCACCACGGTAGGACTATCTTCTTGTGCATCCCGGCCTTGCAAAGCCTCCATGCGAGCCGTCCATGCCCGCCGATTCCTATCCAAGGGTGGAAAGAACCTCATAGGGGTACGGGCAATGGGCTCTTCATAGAGCTGGCAAAGGTATCGCAAGGCTTTGCGGGCCACAACCTGGTAGGTGTCGGTGAAGCTAAACCCGGTTGCGGTCACACTCCAGGCTCCGGTGATGTCGGGGAACTCTTCACTCTTCCCAATGTAGACGGTAACCTCACACCGATCGGTTCCATGCTTCTCATACTCACGACCCTCATACTCGGGACGATCTTTGACTCCGAGCTTTTGCAGGGTGGCATGCAGGATTCTAGGAAAACCCTCAACGTTCAGGCAGTAACTACTAACCCAGGCTTCTACCATTTCTGGCGGTGGCTATAAAGAAGGACTGAGCAAAAAGCTTGCTCAAAGTGAAAACCTAAGCGAGCTAAAGTGCACCGAGTGGTGGTACCAATGGCTAAGCTAGGCTCTACTTATAAAGGCGGAGCGGTCTATGGTCCTGCCGCGGTTCACTTAGAACTGATGAAGATCACTACTTTTCGTCTTTGTCCTACAAGCATGTGTACTGCTTTTGTTTTCCCTTCCCATTTTAGCTTTAGTCAGTGCTTCCGTGGAGGCTTCCAGTTGTTCAGTGTCCATAGCTAACAGACCTAGAGATTGCTGAATTCTATATACATTCAATTTTCATGGGCGCATGCATCTTATGTCTTATCATAGTCGTATCCATCCTGGCTACTAAACATCTCTGCTTATTAAACATGTCAATAGTACTTTGGTTCTTTACTTAGCAAATTGTGTTCTTGGTATGGGTAAAGGACATTGAAGTGTTAGTATTTTTGTGGGGATGGGTGCTAGTTGGCTTGAAGCCACTGCTGGTTTAAAGGCGTGCATGCATGCACTGCTGCTGCCGTTGGCCCACTTTTGACGTATTCTCATAGAGAAAGGACAGGCCATAAAATTTTACATTCTCACAAGGAGATAATAACGGCATGCAATTTGGGGCACCGCCATGCATGCAAAGCAAGCAAGGCCCAAAGACATCTGCATCGTCTGACGTGCTCGCATGCGTCTGCGACCACCATGCTAATCGAGCACCCGGCCATGCAGCACATCGTCCATCTATTAAATGCATGGATGCATGTGTAAGTACAAATGTTCTGCATGGCGGTGGATTGTTTTTATCGATGGTAAGGAGGAGAGGCATTAAATGTGTCCACCTGCCTGGACTTGTTTTTATGTGATGGTAGCATGGAGGAAGACATTAAATGCGTCTACACTGCTTTCGACCCACCATGCGTGGGTGAAGATGTCCGGTGCTTTCAAATTTCTTGAGTGAATTTCTAGATACCTTAGGGAATGGCCTCGGACCTTTGCTCACCTCGTGCGTGCAAAAAGATCTTGGCGCTTTCCTTTTAGTGGTCTCCGCGCCGAGACTCAATGGTGGATCGCGCCAAGACCAATGACCACTCTACCATTACAAAAGGCCTATCCTAGCCACTTGGTACCACCACTCGGTGAGTCTCACCACCGTGGGATCGAACGGGACAACAGATCGAGCAAATCCCATACCGTTCGGTGTGGACGATTCGCACCGATCACCGTCGAGTTGGTAGCCTATGATGCGATCCCGATCCCAAATAAAAACTCCAAAGGACTGTGAGACCATCAATTTTAAAAATCAATTAAAATTTATTTAAAATAACTCAATATAACAACCAGCTACTGTGTATATTAGTGCATCAAAGCCAACATGTCAACCCCGCGTTAGTTAGGAATCTAAGCTAGTCAGCTAGACATTAGTTAGAAATGCATGGTAGACATTATAAACTACTCTCTCAAGTCCAAAAATATCTAATGGACATTGGATTTTTTAACTTGCTCTCCAATGAAATTCGAACACCACTGAATCATACATGGGGATGATACCCAAATCTAAATGGACCTTATCCAAGCATAGCCAAAACAACAAATAATATCCAATTACCGATCCAGCATGGATAGCAGCATGCATGGTCAGCACACAGCACGCTGCTCGGAGTCCCACAGCGTCGCCCGAGGTGCATGGTCTGGTCCGCCTCTGCACCGACCAGTTGCAGGTGCATGCATGGCGTGTTGTGGTGTGGTAGACTAGACCAGGGTCACCCGTTGCCATCAATCACCTCGCTGAAAGGACCTAGGATGCCACCTAGAGGGGGGTGAATAGGCGTTTCTGAAAAATCAACACCTTTAAAAGCGGAAACGATTAGTAATAGGAGTTTCCAAAATGGAAACTCTAAATCAGAGTAATACCACCCCTCACAAGATATCCACAAAGTATATAAAAGATACTAGATAAACCTAGGGAGCCAAACTGCTGCAACCAAAGAGTTGAATCAAAATGCACTAGTCAGTTAATGTCAGAAGTCCCAACGTTTAGGTTAGAACTTCCGACGTGTTAGAAGTCCCGACGTTTGGGTCGGAACTTCCGACGTGTCAGAAGTCCCGACGTTTGGGTCAGAACTTCCGACCCCTACGGGAAATGAACTGCAAGTGCTAAAATGATCTTTGTGATGCCGGTAACTTACAAACCCACTTCCTAGTGGTAAGGTAAGGTGTTGGGTCACTCTCTTGACGTTGATAAGCCACCACTCCGTAGATCGAGTCCCAAACCCTAAGAAATAGCTAGAGAGAGGGAGACAACCAAATACAAGTAATTTCGAGCAAATCACAACAACAACAAGCATGCGGGAGACAAGAATTTATCCCAAGGTTCGGTAGCCCCACAAAGGAGCTCCTACGTCCTCGTTGTTGAGGTGACCACTTAGGTTGGAGTCTCTTCCACCTCCTTGCCTCACTCAAGGATACCACAAAGGTCACTTGAGTTTCTTCACTAGAAAACAAGGGTAATACAAACTTCCCAAGGCTGTTCCACAAGATGGAAACTCTTGGGCGACGCCTAGCCGCGTAGGGGAAAATCCCCAAGAGTAACAAATGCAAATCAAACCGGCTTGATGAAGAAATCAAGTGCTCAAGCTTGCTCAAAGTGATTTTCTCTCTCAATCCACTCTCCAAACACTCAAACCCTTTAGGAATTGAAGTTGGAAGCAAAGGAGTGAAGAGTGGCGAGCCTAGAATGCTTGGGGGCTGTTTTGGCCGAGTGTTCGTCGCAATGAAATGAGTGGGCAACGGTTAGAAGCAAGGAGAGGGGTATATATACTTCAAGGCAAAATCTAACCGTTCAGATCTACGTCGGAAGTTCCGACGCAGATCTCGGGACTTCTGACGTATGAAGAAAAACTGTTCATGCGAGGTCAAAGTCCACTCGAGACAGCCAACGTCGGAACTTCCGACATGGATCGGGACTTCCGACGGTCGGAACTTCCGACGAACGTCGGGACTTCCGACGGTCGAAACTTCCGACGAACGTCGGGACTTTCAACGGGCACAGACAGCAGGTCAGTAGAACCATCGATGCCGGGACTCCCGGCTTGGGTCGAGACTTCCGACTATCGGGAGTTCCGACTCACGTCGGGACTTTCGACGTCCACAGTCACCGCGCAGGCTATGACTGGGAGTCAGCAGTTCCGGCAAGAGTCATGACTTCCAACTGTCGGGAGTTCCGGCTTACGTCGGGACTTCTGACACCGACAGTCACAGAAAATTATTCTATGTGCTCGTGAAGTGCTAGAGTGTCTCTCTTTTGATTTTATTTATTATGCTTGAGCACTCTATCTTCCTCAGACCACCTAAACTTGCATCCCTCTTAATAGTACGGCATACCTATTAACTCAAGATCAAAAGAAAAATGAAATTAAACCTTTTGAGTTGATCTTCTTTAAAATTGATGCCGTGTCTTTCAATCTTCATCAAGTGAGGGTGCCAACATGTCAATATTGATCTTGTCACTTGAGCATAGCCATCTTGAGCACGTGACTTGATTCCATTCATCAAATATGAATAACTCCAAATGCATCAAGTCACTTTAATCAACTTGTCCAATATAGATTTGATCCTCCACATCAATATGACCATCATAGCTTGATTAGTACCTCAACTAAATGCAAGTACTTTCTTCTTCACCCAAGCCGTCGCTTGCCCTTCACCCTTGCTTAGTACCTCGAAGCCTTTTCTTGCTATCTTCACCATCTCAAGCCATCAAGTCACATCTTGTATTAAATCAACCATTCATTTGTATTGTTGCCTTTTTCATTTCAATTTAGCAAGCTTCAAATATGAGACCATTCCATATGCAATCCCTCATGTCTCATTAATTAACTCTTATCGTGCTTGCTTTCACATAGATCATTGAAATCCCACAATAAATAAGCCTTTGCATGAATTCCATTTGCATTGTTGTCTTGTGCTTGAACTAGATTGTTTATACAACAATACATCATTTTTGGCTTTATACAATTTCATCAAGTATATGTGAGATAATCAATTTCCTGTCTAACACTTAGCAAACATGTTAGTCCTTTAATCGTGTTGTCATTCAATCACCCAAAACTCACTAAAGGGCTAGATGCACTTTCAATCTCCCCCTTTTTGGTGATTGATGACAACCTGATTAAAGCTTACAAAAAGATATAAACAATTAGGCTTTTGGATTCAATGATATATGAGAGGCTCCCCCTTAATGTGTGCAATATGAATTGAATTCATAAATGACCTCAAATATCAATTTGCACATACTAAAACACATAGGAGACCCCCCCTTAAATCATTGCATCCGTGGGGTGCAAGTGTGTGTCAAAATAAAAAACCGTGATGCATATGACATGATATATCACACAAGAAAATCATTGCATCCGTGGGGTGCAAGTGTGTGTCAAAATAAAAAACCATGATGCATATGACATGATATATCACACAAGACTGAACAGAAAGCATCACACCATACAAAGTCACTCTAAAACATGCATGGTCCTTATGAAAGTAAATACATCATATATATCACACACATATATATATCACACACATAGCACTCATCACAAAGATTTCTCAAGACATATCTCTCCCCTTGTCATAGCTAGTCTCCCCCTTTCATAGCTAGACACAAGGTTGCACTCTTGAAGCTTTAAACATATCTCTCCCCCTTAAGCTTTCATCTCTCTCCTCCTTAAGCTTTAATCATATCTCTCCCCCTTTGTCATCTATCGCCAAAAAGGGTCACACAAAGCACAAAGGGTGCTTAAGGTTCAAACTTTGTACTAATCTCTCCCCCTTTGTATTAAACTCTCCCCCTTTGTCATGGCGTGGGTCATATTACTTGTCACTCCCCCTTTGTCATCTTAAAGAGGTTGTACTTGTCACTTATTTGCAATTCAAAATAGATCAAGTACATGGGTTCACTAGCTCATGAACAAACTCATACACTAACCACTAGATCATATAATCATTCAAGCAATAGTGGTAGTCTATGAATCTAAAAATTTTCATTTGTAATGCATGATCCTATAAGCATGTACTATATGCACTAACCGCATACTAGTAAGGGATGAAAAATGATCATGCACAATACAATGATACCTTTGCTATGTTGGAGAGGAAGATAGTCATATAGATTTCAATTCATTTCTCCAATAGCACCATGAAGTCCAATTATAAGCTTGGTGAAGACCAATAGATACTAATTCTTTGAATTCCTATTCTTCACCCATATGAATTGAGAATCACTAATGATCAAGTGCACTCTTCTTGTTGTGGTTGGCTTGCTTCTTCTTTGATCATTGCTTGCTTGAGAGAACTGAAAGATGCACCACTTGTAATACCACTTGAAATTTCATGATACCACTTGAAATTTCATGACTTGTTCTCTTTTGGGTGTTGCTTGCTTTCTAGACCAATCTCTTGATTTTCTTCAACCAAGTACCTCAAATGTCCCTTTAGATTACCACTTCGATTTTAGTCATCCAAGTCTAGAGCGAAGTGACCTCTCTACAAAGAACCATCCTTGATACTCACTTGAAATAACTTGAAAGAAAATCACTTGATCCACTTGAAAGATTTTGTTTGATTGATCCATATTGTTGGACTTAATTTGATGAATAACTTTGAATCCTTCTTTA